TAGTTGAGGGTTGTTAGGGATCATTGGCATATTTCTTGGATACAGCAGGTAGGTAGTGAAGCTGTTAAGCAATGAAAAGTAAACCACACTGAGCTGAAACAGTATAGCATCTGTTGCAATAGTCTTTGCACAAAATTAAAACTCATCCGTCTCCTTAAGAAAGCTTTTTCCTGAATTGAAGCATGCACTTTGAAGTCCACATTTAGTAAGCTTTTCAAAACTTCGAGTTTCAAGATGATCAATAAAACATTAATAATTCCGAAACAAAAAATTGTGAAAACTTTTTCAAAAACGTTTAAATGTGAATTTCAAAGTGCACGTTTCACTTCCAGAGAAAACTTTCTTAAGGTGAGAAATGAGCGTTAATTTTGTGCAAAGACCGATGTTATTTAAACGAATTTAATTTTAATTTTAAATGTTGCTCAATTGTACCGTACAGTTGAAGTGAATAATCATAACTTTCCACTGCTAAATTACTAGCACCTAAGCGATTGAATTCATCTCCTTGTTCAACAAAAAATTCAGCCAAATCAATGGCTAATTTACATAATAAATTATCTTCATTTTGAAATACACCATTTATTTTGGAATATGAACGTGTCCACATTTTATGATATTGAAGTTCGACAGTTAATAAGTAAATAGATCGAATTTGTGATAAATGTTGAATTTCATCAACAAGTTCTTGAACAAATAATGTGTGAGAAATAATAAAAAATATTTTTTTATTTTTGTGTGTCGATAAATATTTTAAAGATGAAATGATATTATCGAAAAACATTAAATGATCGAAGACAAGACGAAGTCTATCCAATGTCGTTTTACTCGGCTTGATACTGGAATCAAGCCAAATAAGAATAAATGAATTTTTAACATCTAAATAAAACAAACGAAGACATGCTGACGAACAACATCATCCTTAAGATTACTAACCTTTTACTGCTGTACATCGAACTAAAGATCGTTTCGTATCATCATATTTCATTACAGCACTTGGTACATTGATTTTCAGATTTTGATCCAATTTCCGTTGATTATTTGTAGTCTTGTGGTGTTTTGTTGAAACAAAAAATATTTCACATTCATTTAATATCGGTATAAGGTTAGCTAATAAATATAATGCTTTTTCTCCTCGCTCTTTTTTTGTACAACTGTGATTATTCTTATTTATATTAAATTGAAAATTTTGAAGAGAAAATTTTGAAAACCCAACTACCGTACTTTCCATGACGAATTTTCTATGTTATCTAAAACTAAACGAAATAATGTAAATATTTTATATCGAGTGAAGAGATGCATCTTTTGAGGAGACGTGCTCCCTTATCTATGGTTTTATTAAAATGTGTTTAATGTTTTTTCAAAAGAGAAAATTCAAATCTCAGCGTTTGTATGACGTTTTATATTGAGAGAAAAATTTAAGCGACATGTGTACGTTCCTTCTGAGTTTATTATGCTTGATTGCCTGTAGGACAGAAATTATTTGCTCCTCTGTTTTCTTTGCCTTTCTCTTTTTTATCGGCAGTGAGAAAAGCTTTTTCTTTTCAGGCAGGCTCAACAATACTCTACTCAATTTTCTTTTCAATCGAGTCACCGGTGAAAATATTCACGGATGCGCGAATTTTGATGGCTTCTGTAAGTTCCTTGGATTTGTTTGTGGTCGTGAATAATTTGAACTAAATATTGACGGTATCCACCTGACACCATTAGAATAATTTTATTTTTCTTTATTTTTTTCGATATATTGTTAACATTTAATCATATATCAAATATTTTAAGGTAATTAATTGTGTCAGGCAATGTGCTTGTGCCTTTTTCAGCGGTTTTACTTTTGTTTTTATTTGCAATCACTGATCACCTTTACGGTCCTGTCAGTACAAAAAATTATTTGTAGAAGAATACCGAAATAGAAAAAATAGAAATTAAGTAACACACTGACCGAGTGTATATTTTCACAGACAATTTTTAAAACAAACTACGTGTACAAAAACACAAATTAAATATATAAAAGGTTTTGCAGTTACATCCTTCCTTTTGTTCCTTAAAGTATTTTTTATTTATTACAGCAATTCTTCCTTTCCTCACAATATACAGCATCATTCGGACTCAGAGTCAAATCCACTCAGACCACACCACTCAGAAACTTTCAGGAAATAAGACCCCCCAACTG